GAAAACAAATAAGATAACATAAATTAATATTTAATCAAATAAGGAGAAATAATGAAAGAGAAAATTAAAAGGGAGGAGATTGAAAATATCAACCTAAAATTATATCAATAACGTAATTATAAACATATATAAACAGTTAATCCAGCAGCATTGAATGGAAGAAAAAGAGGAGGCAATAGCCGGAGGAGAAGAAAAAGAACAATAAGAAGAAGAAGAAGAAGAAGAAGAAGAAGAAGAAGGAAGACAAGAAGAAATAAGCTGGGTAGAGTTGGGGGGGGTATATATATGGGAACTTACCCATGTGTAGTTAGTCGGTGTTATTTTCACCGACAAAAATCACATGGGCAAGTGACCGAGAGCGGGAACCAAAATTTTTGCAACCCGCGCCCAAATTACCGACCAGCTTGCCGTCGGCATGTTTTTGGCATCTTTACCGACAAGATACAAGTTGGAAAATCAATTCACCGACTAGGAGTACGTTCCTAGTATGGCCGGTAACAATTCACCAGCTTCCTCTCCATATTTCGTCCATTTTGCCTAAGTTACTTTCTAGATTTCGTTTTCGTGCCATTTGCTGAATTTTTGTAACAGATTTCTTACATGTTAGTGGACATAAAATTTTAAAAAAATTATCAAAATTCTCCTGTATATATGATAAAAGGTATTTTTTCTTTAAATCTGCATTTGCAATACTATAACTTTGTGATAAAAAATGCAATAATTTAAAATTTATTCAATAGATTTTTTGTAATTTGGTCATTTTAGTTGGTATAAATTCTAAAAAAAATTTGACAGAGTTTCCCCATACATATGATCAAAACCAATTTTTTTTACCTGCATTTGCAATGAAAAACACATATATTCTACAAGTCTAGTATGCTAAAAACAATTATACCTTTTCAACTACAACTACAACCACAAAGTATATATGGCAATTACACACCATTGTTTTAAATACCCACGATATTTAGTTAATAATAATTAACCTCCAAAGTAGTCCAAAACTTCATACCTTTTGAAGTATGATCACTAGAGGTCAAGCAAAATAAGAAAATATATCGTAATAAAAGCTAAAGCTAACAGTTTAAAGTACTAATAGAAATAAAGCCAACCATGCAAAGTATG